TGATAAACTAATGCAATTACAGGCAGGGTCACAAAGTCAGCTAATTTACAGATAGCGGTGTTTGGGGTGGAGGGGGATGTTGAATAGCCCCTGGGGTCCTGATGCAGTCTCTTTATTTCCACTCGGAGTTTAAAGCAGCCAAGTGCAGCAGGATTGATCCTCTGAACTGCGTCGTACTGACCGTGTGTTATAACACACAGAGATCTTTAACACAGGGCAATTATTTCTGCAGATAGCATCCAGACAAAAACAGGCTTAGTAATCAAAGCAAGTGATTGAAAACTTGCTGAAATAACCAGGATACATTTTTTTTTAGGTTTCCTTAAAAACGATTGGTTCAATCATGTTAAATTTTTCTGTCATTTACACTCTTAAAAATAGTTTCCAAAAGGCTTTTTCTCCCTCCACAGTGATGCCATAGAACCATCATTTTGGGTTCCAAAAAGAATCTTTCAGTGAGCAGTTGCTAAAATGGCCTTTATGAAGAACATTCTAAATAATCCAAAGAACCTTTTTGTGCAATGGAAAGATTGCGCGGATGTTAAAGGTTCTTCATTGAACTATTGATGCCAATAAAGAACATTTATTTTAAGTATGTTAACGTAAGTTATCTAAATGACTTGAGATCTTTCTAATCTACCATCTTGGCTCCAGGATGTGTTTGCAAAGTAATGTGACCTTTGACCCATAATTAAATTGACATCTTTAACCTTCGTTACAGCCCGTCACATCACATCTGTGCAAATCAGAATGTCAATACATCATTGGGTTTACATTAACTGCACAACACATATGCTTAAAAGTAAAGCACACATATATAGAGGTAATATAGTTAAAAATAAAGCTTCTTTATTGACACGGAACATCCATGTAACCTTTCCATTACACAAAAGTTTCTTTATGTGGTAAAGAAATTATACTAATGTGTGGTAATGGAAAAACAACTTCATTATATCAAAACATCCAGGGGTTGGATAAAAGTAAAAGAAAAAAGCCAAATCATCTCCAAAATTAATTAAAAACATTTAGTGTTATTTTATATTAAACTGTAAAATAGTGCAATAATAATGAATTGTATCACAGAGAATTATGCAATGAGCAAGAAAGTAACTGACAAAACATCCTGGCTGAAACGTCATCATACAAGTATTACACGCTTGCTCTAAGTCACGGCAAAATAATGACGTGCTGAATATATTTGCAGCACACTGCCATCCAGTGATCAGTCACAGAACTAGAAAACAACAATTTTGAATTTTGAACTGCAAAGTCATAATATTGTCTATAACAGGTCAAAATCTCCTAAACATCTTTAATAAGTCATAAGGAAAAAATTACGTCACACACCAGCCAATACAAATAAAATACGAAAGAGGGCTTTGTGTGTACGTACGTGTGAACATTCACACCGACAGACACTTCTGGCAGCTCCTGCTCGTGTGTTTCTCACTGACTTCACCGGAGTATTTTTAACACGAGTGATGGCTGGATCTGCCCGCGGTCTCGCGTCCTGTGGCACTGAGATTCGCGCACCCCTGACACCAGCATCTGGGATGATCCATTGCCCCTGGCAACACAGGGACTATTCCCAGAAGCCCCTCTGATTTATGGAGCTAATTTTGCGGTGTTGCTGGGGAATCTGGGATTTGTGGTTCAGCTGAGGGCAGTTGTCTGCATGACAAGGCCACTGAAAAGTTCAAACAGCCAAAGCTTCTGTCAGCACCTTTACCGATGCCGCAGAGTGAGACAGATGGAGCGACTCTTGACAACTCACCCAGAGAGATGAAAACAACTACATCGAAAAACAACAACATGAAAACAACTAATTAAACATTAAAAGCGCCGTACTGAAATCCCTCGTTCTTTTCTTCTGTAAAATTGCAATTAATTCATCCACTTAATTCATCGAGTACTTCAGCTGCGGACGGTTCTCTTGAACTCAAAAACTGACTTCCAATTATATGCATGCAATTGTGGGAGACTGGAAACACAAGCTCATGCTCATATCACATGTTTCTGCGGCATACAAAAGTTTTGGGGACCTGCAAATTTGTATGACAAGAACATGTAAAACCAATAAGGATCTACACATCAAAGATCTATCTTTTGGTCAGTTTCAACGAGCACAAACATAAAAGCTGCAAATTCACAGTGCTGCAGCTTCAGATTGTTTCAGCTTTTGAATGCAATCATTGATTTTGAAAGCAAATCATTTGTGATTTATTACACCACCCTGCATCATATTTGCTGAATGAAATCCAGTACTTGTTTCTTATTGATTTTGGGTTGCTGATTGCAGAAATGGTGCAAGTTTTGCTCGAGTATGTTACACTTTTTCACAAAATATTTTGTAGCATTTTTGCTTTTGACAATCATTTGTGAGGTGAAAAGTCTTGTATTATCCCATAATCATCAGAAAAACTGGCATAAGATTCATATCTTTCTCTGAGCCAGATTACAACTATTTTTTTTTTAATTCTCAGCTCATTTTCACATGTATGAATGACTTTGAAGACTTTATGCCAAATCCTGATTTCCACTTTTTCCACTCCTATACAAATTTTGAATGCTTTGTTTTGTCATCAAAACTTTTGACATTTGACTGCTTTTTCTCAGCATCAAGTTAGGTAACATTAGGCCTTTTTTGCAAATCAGCTTAATTTTTTTCCAAGATGCAGGGCTATGTATTATAAACAGAAACCCTACAGTAGAGTGTGACAATCTACATTTTGCATTCTCGAAGTCCACAATGTGACCACTGCTTTAACATACAGAACAACATTCCCACTGTTTCATAGCCATTTAAAGGGACAGGTCACCCAAAGATGAACATTCTCTCATTAATTACACACCCTCATGTTGCTCCAAATTCATGTGGATTTCTTTTATAACCTCTTTATGAACTTGTTGAAGTGTCAAAATTTGGGTGGAATGGAAATCTCTCAGGTTTCATTCAAAATATCTTCATTTGTTTTTGGCAGATCAACGAAAGTCTGATTGGTTTGGAAAGCCATGAGGGTGAGTCACTTATGATGTTGGGTGAACAAACTCTTTAAAGGTATAGGAACACTATGAATTCTTGGTTATAATTTCAGTAATCTTATGTTTTAAAAGCGATAAGGTAACGATGAGGTCACGTCTGCATATGGCAGATAAGACCACCATTGATCTTACTTTACTGGATAATTTTACCAAAATAAAAAAATAAAAGCAAATGTAGAATAAACAAATAAAAATAATTATCAAAATTCTTCTGCTTTTTTGTAAGCAGTAAGATTTGCTCAGTCTATATTGACCGCTTCACAGCGGTATAAAACCCAGTTCAAAGAAGCTCAGTCTTCCTCTTTCTCAGATATCCAAATAAGAAAATGTGGCCCAAGCAAAGATTCCTCCCCAGGCCTGTATTATGATGTAGAGTTAGAGATTTCATCTCAAACTGAGCTCTGCACGTCTGGCCGAGGGTTTTTTTTTTTTTTTTTTTAGAGGATGTCGGGGATAAACACTAAATTAATCATGTTTTGGCTGAACTTGCCGGGGACTGAAATTTGCTTATAGAGGCCTGTGATCACATAAAATATTAAAGACTTTTTCTCAGCACTAGCAGGAGGCTACGAAAAACACTGGGCACCGTCATTGTTTTAATGAAACAAACAAATAAATAAATCCCCATTTGATCAGAACTGGATGTGGATTACATTTAAATGTATATAAGCAGGACGAATTATGATTTTGCATACATTAATGACCCAAATCAGAATAAAATGACTAAAAATATAACTCTTGATGCTAACTTCACACCTTATTTTCGATTCAGAGTCAAACATCATTCACTTCACCGGTTAAGAAATAAACCCATTTATCTTACTGACACAAATTACAGATTAAAGAGTCTTTACAAATGACTGGGCCAATGTAAACGCGTTAGCTGAAGCACTCCGACACGCTCTAAACTAGTTAGTCCATGTTTTCTGCGGTAAATGCATTATGCAGTTTATTCCGCCGGAAATGCATTGGCCTCATGGACTCACAGCTCACGATGAGTCGGAGTTTAACAAATACATCACTTCATTAAGGAGTAGTCAGGCTGCAGGGGTCCCTCAGATTAAATAGGCCTATTTAAGAACCGCGATTTACATCCCTCACACACCGCGACAATCTCTATAGTAACGACACACGAACTGACCCAACAAAGCTTATTAAAATGTTATATTACACCGAGAGAGAGGTCAAAGGTCAAATTTTAACTAGGGGAGGAATGGGACACACACACACACTCACTTTAGGCCTGTACGATGGTGAGAGATCAGGTCCCAGCGAGTGACGGAGGGGGTATTGGGAGAGGAGTGCAGCATGAGGCCGTGTAGGAGGGGGCGAGCGTCCACTTAAGGGCCCCCTTGCTGGGCCGGGCGAGGTTTAGTTGGTGGGGGTAAAGCTGAGCTTCATGGCACACTCCAAGAGCAAATCGAATTCTTCACAATTAGCTGAGCTTCCACGACAGGCACCAAGGTGGGAGAGCCACATCACCGACTGCTACAGCTCTGATTGGGTAATTCGTTCTCCACTATGCAAATGTGATGCTCAGAGGTTGTATGGAGGCCGGATGCAAGTCGTCAGGATGGTGCGATGGCGTCAAGGGTCAACAAATATTGTAAAAACAGGTTTTAGTGTCCTGCGGGAAAAGAGCTGGGCGGTTTTATCACAAGTTGACAATGAAAATGTCCAAATAATTAGAAAAGGCCATGAAGAATGTGAATGAAGACCATACCGATTTGTAACGGGACATGTTTGGTGATCCGATGTAGTTCAACCTTCATCCATAAACACATGACCTAATGGACAGAAATGCACAACGGTTAGTTAGTCACCTGAAAAGAAAAAACAGATGTAAAACAACATATAAAAACTTTGCTTACCTCATTTTATGCTGTTTGTGCTCCATACTTACTTGCTGGTACTGTGGGTGCATGATGAATTTAAGAAATTTGCTCTTTTTGTGAGGATTGGGGGGTGGGGGTTGAAATGGTCTTTATTCAGCTGTTCAGATTTTTTTGTTTTCAATGCTGCTTTTGCAGCAGAGCTCTCAATATTTTTTTTCTTTTGGTTTTTCTTTTTTTTTGCAGCTGATATTTTTTCTAGACCATTTCACTTCTTTATTTTTTTACATTTCAAAATTAAAGCCAGGAGATGAATCCAGAAGCAAAAACCATTAAAATTGATACATAAAATATGTACACAAAAAGCTACATCCTCATCAGGCTGATTATACTAAGGAAAGCATACAACATGTTTTATAACAACGCTCCAAAAATGCTCTACCGTTGTCTTTGAGATCGAAACATTTCCCATATTTGTCTCAATCTGTAACATTTTCAGAAATGTTGAAAAGAAATTTGGGTCAACATACGGACCATAAAAAAAAAAGAAAAAAAGAAAAGAAAAAAGAAAAAAGAAAAACAATGCAGCCGCCAAAAGTTAGTCAATGTTTTGAAACGATACGAAACAAAACGATGACGGCGAGAAATCAAATCATTCATGTTATCTTACATCTCAGTAATTGAAATTCACAGCCTTTTGAGTAACGTTTTCTATTTGCTGCTCAGGTTTGATAAGTAAAATAAAAAAAGCCAATGAAATGTAAATCAATATTATTAAAAACAACCATTTCAAAAACACAGAACTCAAGATCTGATGTGCTCGAGTGGTGCAGTGCAGCAGGACTGGACACACGACTTCATCTTCATCTACGCCATGAGCGCGACTCGTTATCGTCTTCCTCTTCATCATCGTCCTGCAGCAGGGAATCGTCCACGAACGAATCCTCTGGAAACTGCAGCCAATCAGAAATCGGACACTCAGAATCAAATGAATGCACAATGACAGTACAAATGTTTCGTGCTTATCCCATGGTACATTCGCTCAGCTATATGTGAGCAGGACTGGTTTATGTTACTTCTACACAAGAACAAGGAAGAAACAGTAATATAAAGTGAGACTAATCCAACATTTATTAAGGTATGTTATAAAGCATAATGCAAAGTTGTTTACACTTGCTCAGCAACATCACAACAGAAAAATTAAATGTAACGTTTTGCGGTCACAGGTTTGCATTAGTTTGTGGCTCATTTAAATAGAACTTAAGAGAAAGAAATGCAATAATGCAAACTGAAATTAAGTTTTTGTTTTTAACTTAAGTGGTACATTAAGTTGTGTACAGACACTGATGACTTAATTTGTTATAAATTATCACATTTTTGGGTTGTGTCCATTAGGTTCCAAATAAAAAGAAAATAATATGAAGATCCTTCCAATTTGTCAAGTATTTCACTCAATGGACAATCAAAATATGTATTATCGCAGGACTGTTTAGTGTTTTAGGGTCGGTATATTTTTATATTGTTTTTGTCACTTATGCGCACCAAAGCTGCATTTTACAAAAATACAGTAAAAACAGCAATTTTATGAAATATTATTACAATTTAAAAGTACTTTTTCTATTTTAATATTTTTTAAATGCTATTTATTCCTGTGATCAAAGCTGAATTTTCAGCATCATTACTCCAGTCTTCAGTCACATGACCCTTCAGAAATCATTCTAATATGCTGATTTGCTGCTCAAGAAATATTTCTTATTATCATTATTACTGAAAATAGTTGTGCTGCTTAATTTATGAAGCTTTGATGAATAGAAATTTCAAAAGAACAGCATTTATGCTTTGTAACAAATGTCTTTACTGTTATTTTTGATCAATTTAATGCACCCTTGCTGAAAAAAAAAAAGACTTTCTTTTATTCTCCAGCAAAAATAAATATATTGTAATGGATACAAACGTTAAAATGACTTGAATACCTAAGAAAAGTAGTACAAATGAGTAAACCAAACACTCTTAAAGTGAAATGTGATGAAGGGCGTACCTCCTCATCCTCAGGTTCAACTTCATCCGGGTCTGTTGTGTTGAGGGAAGCCGTGGGCTTGTGCCAGGCCAAGCGCAGCTCCTGATTATTTAACCGAACACCGTGGATGGCCGCCTGAGGAACAGAGTTGAAGTTCAGACTCTGCATGAAGGCGTACATGTATGTGTTTACTGATGTTTATGGGTTATGTCAGTACCTGTTCTGCCTCTGCACGGGTTTTGTATGTAATGATGGCACTAAGACTAGAATCCTCCATCTGGCAATCTTCAATCTCCCCGTATTGCTGGAGGTTAGTGGGAGAACCAGTTATGACTCAAAGACATACCTCATAACAGTGTGATGCAACATGCCCTTTAAAGTCACTCACTGCGAAGTGTGGCAGCAGGTCGACTCGATCTGCCTCAGTGAAACCGCCGATCTCTAAAGCTCGGGGTCGATGATCCACCACAGCGTGAGTTGGGACTCCTCTCCCGCGTCCTCGGCTCCTCAGGCCCCCCCGACCCCTGCCGTGGGCCCCCCTCCCACGTCCTGGGGTCAGCAGCCCCCTTTTGGCAGCCTGAATGAAAACATCTCGTATAAGCTTACAGAGTTTAAGTAGCACTACAGTGCCACTCAGTGGAAGGACTGAGAATGAGTTTTCGGTTTATAACCTATTCACTACTTGAATAAAAGTTTAATTTCTCATGCTACTAGCACTGCATAATTTCTGGATTGACAATCGTATTTAAATGTGGCTAATGTAATGTGTGATGTTTTTATTTCTCAAAAGAACTCGCTTAGCCACAACATTTTGTTTAATTGTCTTTTTTTTTTCTATTTCATATTTTTATACTGGTTCAATGTGCTTATAGGTAAATATGATTTTAAACGTTTCTTTTGGTGTTCATTTAGTTAAGTGGTCACTATGTCTAGATTTCCGTTTTTTTAACTTGATTTTTTAGCAGTGTTATTTCAGCATCATAGAGATACTAGTACAGTTTTTATTAATATTTTGAATGCGTTTTGTTACATTTTTGTTACATTTAACTTTTGCTAAAATGTTAGTAATTTTGTTGTGTGCTTTTGTAATTTATATTTATTATATATTTTTTTGTTTTATATTTATATAAAATGTATTATACATTTATTTCAGTTATTTTTGTACATTAAATTAAACTAAATTAAAATGAGAAATATTGCCTTGGCAACTAGCCGAAATAAGTATTTTATTTTATGTATTGGTTTTGGGTTTTTTTTTTTGGTTTGGTTTGGTTTTAATTTTAGTTTCAGTCAGATAACTATAATGTTTTGTAGTAAACAATTGTACAGCATGCACTTTGTAATAAAATAGCTTTTCTATCCAGTCTATCCATTTTTTTCACATTTTTTGAGAGCAAATGTAAAAATAGAGCTATATACAGACTAACGACTAAATTTGGAAAGAAATATAAATGTGCCATATTCTAGCTATAAGAAAAAGTAAATGTGCGCAAGAATAGAGCTTTTTGTCTCTTTGTAAAATATACCTCCAATTGCAGCTGAGTGTATTTGATCTTGAGTTCAGCAGTGTCTTCTCCTGCCTGGATTTTCTTATAAAGGTCCAACTCAGTGTCCAGGAGCTCCTTTTGAGCCTGAAAACGGAGAACCATCATATAGGCTACACATGCAGAAAAACTCATTTGTTGATTATGGTGCTTTGGGACTGTGTGTGTACCTGAGCCTTGCTCTTGAGTGTGGTCTTGAGGGCATTAGCACTGGACAGTCCTTTCATCTCCTCCTGTAGTTTGGTGATGCTGTTGGTGAAGGTGGTGAGGGTCTGCATGATCAGAGCTTTATCCTCCGCCTTCATGGACCTGTTCTTCTCCAGCTTAGATATCAGCAGCTGAAGACACACACCAGTCTCAGTCACCTCAAAATGCAGTCGTTTATGTACAAAGTCATTAATTTCTCTATCCCTAAATCAAACCCTCACAGAAGCCTGCTGATATTAGAAGTAAAGCGACACTTTGATTTATGAGCTTGTCAAATAGCACAGATCAATTAATGTGCTCTCACAAGACTGACTTCCAAATACTTGTTTCCATCACTAGTTAGCAAGCTGTGACAACAGCAAAAAGCTATTTTTCTAGACTAAGTTCATGCACATTTTTAAACATTTTATCACACTTTTGAGGTAATGAAGTCAGTGCCAGCCTAGTAATATGTCGCAGCTACATATAAAAACATAAAAATATAAAAAATTTTACTAGTACTTGAGATGAATCTATTTTCTATTTGAATATATTTTTTGTTTATTTGGTGCTTAAACTTTTTTTATATTATCAATGTGGAAAACAGTTGTGCTGCTTCATATTTTTGTGGAAACAGTTGTAAATTCAGTATTCTTTGATAAATAGAGTCCAAAAGAATAGCATTTATTCCCAAAAGAAATATTTTGTAACATTATAAATGTCTTTACTGAATAAAAGCATTTCCCAAACGTTTAAATGGTAGTGTACTTTTTAACTTTAACTTAAAATACACCTAGTTAACAGATAGTGTCACCTAGGAAACAACAAGCATCTTTCTAATTATCATAATATATGAACAAGACAAAAGTACAACAATTAATGCCGCACCTTCTGAGTCTGAATGTGCTTCTCCAAAATCTCCTGTTTCTTTTTCCGAATGTCGTGCTGAAGCTTCAGCGCCTCCTGGTGGAGAATGACAGGACCACATTTACAGTAGTTCAACACTGCTAACACAAGCATAAAACGTGTGACTTGCAGGTTGCTTTTTCCAGCACAATGATACAAACCTGTTTCCTTTTCAGGGCATCTTCTGCGCTGACAGTGGCGCTCCCGAATGGCGCTCCCTTCTGGCCAGCTTTCAGTGCAGCTGGGTTATAAACAGTCTTAGTCAGGCCAGTAGATGTGGAAAAGACCTAAAGAAAAAAGGAAAGATTTTACCAAGAGATTTTACATTATATATACACATGTAAAAGTGTCTCAAAAGAAGCCAGTGGGCCACAACAAGATGGCACTGTTGAATGCATACTCTACACCAGTGTTTCCCAACCTTTTTTCAGTCGCAGCACCCTTTGGAAATTTTAACAAACTTGTGGCACCCTACAAAATAATATACACAATATTTGAATTTCTAACTTCAATATGATAATTCGAAAAGTATAGATATTCGGTACAACAGGGAAGAACTGCAGAATATAATGTCATACAGATATTTTTAATATTATAAAAAAATTTTGTCCATCAATGGTGGCAATCAGTAGGCTAATTTCTAATGAAGAGACCAATTTATAATGTAGGATATAATGCCATTTTAATGTAGGCTTTTATACATATGTAAACAATTTAATTACCATTATAACTAGCTATCTCACAAATTTTTTTATTTTTTATTTTACAGTGGGGTAATTTTGGTGCAGTAGCACGAGATAGCTTGATTTCAGACTTTGAATTGAATAAAAAATGACAAGTAAGCAGTCAGTAATAAAATAAGAACAAACTGCTCTCGACAGACGGCACCCCAGTTGGGAAACACTGCTCTACACAAACAAGTAATTAGGCCCTTAAAGTGAAAGTGGGAGGTTTATAAGCTGCAACATAGACTAGACTTTCTGATAAAAGTATAAAGCCTCACTATGCAAAACCATGAAAACATACCTTTCCTCCAAAGCCAGCTGGTTTAGAGAGGCCCAAACGCTCCTTCACTGAAGCCTTGGTTGTATTCTGTAGAGAACAGAAATACAGAGACATGCTGAGATCTGAGACAAAGAACAAATACAAACACGCATGATCAGGAAGAGTTTGAGCCACACATTCACCTGTGGAGCGCCGCCGGAGTCGTGTGAGGGTTCAGGGTGGGCTGTGGGCAGGGGTCCGAGCCGGTCTTTCACTGACTGTTTCGGTGTGGTCACCACAGGCTCCTGGGCTGTCTGTATGCTCTACAAAAAACAAGCATGGCTCCAACAATCAGATTTTACAGCTGGAACCATCTGATATATGAAACTGATCATGATGTTTGCCTAATGCACTCAGCAGTCAGATCATGCACAATAAAATGACTCAATATTGTAAGAATTTGTCCTAAAAAGGAATGTGTACTGCAAACTATGTAAGAATTTTTTTGTGTTGTGGAAAGAGGTATTAATACAGCCTGGGTAGTAATTAGTGGATCATCAATATGTAGCCAAGGTTGATTAACGAGTGAACTGTTCATTGTAGTGTTTAATTTGCTTTCGGTTCACGAGTGATTACATTTTTTATTTCTAAAACCTTATAATAGGAGCACAGAACAATTTATAAATCAATTTTTAACACATTTAAGTTCAAACTAATTTTCAAATTAATTATTTTAATGTTATATAAAATAAATATGAATTGTATTGCTGTGACTGCATTGTGCATGTGAAATAAAACAATGATAAATCTGTTAGCTACTATAAACTAAATGATGATAAACATTGTGATGAATGTAAGTTACTCTCTTGAAATTAAAGTGTTAATATAAACATTTTGATAAGTTTATCATTAAATTGATTAATATAATAGTGATAAATATAAAAATTGTGATGCGTGTCATTTACTCTCTTAATATTAAATTGTGATAAATCGATAAAAATAGTGATGTGTTATTTACTCCTTAAAGACAAAAATATTTTATTACAAAAAAATCTTATCTTTAAATAAAATATACATTTAATAAATACAATAAAATATGTATTTAATCATAATTAAATTTAAATATACATTTTAGTGGCATCGGTCACTAAGAAAATATTGCTTGACCACTAATAGTTCAATTTCCTGGAGAACTTGATACCGGATGTGGAGTGGTGTGTGTGTGCTCCACCGCGTCCTCTCTGTGCCAGTGTACTCTGATGAAGCGGTTGTTGAGCACTGCCTCTGTGCTCTGCATGGCCCGTTTGGCTTCTTCAGGGGAGGCAAACTGGATAAGCGCCCCCTCTGGGTCATTATTATATGCCACCTAAAACAGAGGAAATGTGCTTATAAGATCAAAACGATCATGAACAACATATCACATATCACAAATGTTGACTTTTAACCATCGCAGTACCTGTAGATTGACGATGGTGCCAAACTTGCTGAAGTGCTCGTTTAGTTTGCTGATGTTGTTGAGTTCAGGAGGAATCTGACGGATGGCCAGTTTGGCGTTTGCTGAAGAGTAGGGCACTCTGCTGTGAAAGCTGTGGTGGTTTGGTTTGTTGAAGTTTGGTCTGTAGAGCGAAAAGAAAAATGCACATTGAGGTCAAATGTAAGTAATGAAACAAACAAATGCATGCAGCACCAAATAATGAATACTTTGTTTGTGTGCACTCAAGCATTTTAATAAACCTCTTTAGAAAGACTGCATTCATATTCAACTATATGCACACGTTTATGTACCCATTTCACCAGAAAATTATAATTAAATTAAAAATATATATTTTTAAAATTCAGAATATTAAAATTATAAAATATTTGAATGACTCTGTCTTACTTGTCAAACCAGGGTTTCTTTGCAGGAATCGCTCCATCATGCATTCCTGCTCCTCTCTTCCTGGAGTCTGATTCTAAAACTATCCGAGCGCTGTTGCTGTTTAACATTTTCTCTAAAAGAATTACACACACAAAAAAAGGGAAGTAAAGGACAAAAAAAATGTATATTTCAATTCCACAGGAAGAAAAATAAGCAAATTCCTGAAGAGCTGGTTTAGCAGGGAGGCCAGAGCTCACAGTTACCTCTAGAGGGCAGATCCACTTCTCCCATGGTCAGACCAATCAGATTGGGCCGCTGAGCGTTGACTCTGTGTCTGTACATGGGCCGCGAGGTCATGCTGGGGGCTTCAGGATTATACACCTCTGGCTCAAACGAATCTATATATTAGAAAAACAATGACTTGTAATTCCATAATTATAAAATAATAAATAGTAGCATTTTTATTTGGTATGTATACTACCATTCCACCAATTTGGGGTCAGAATGATTCTGTTTTAAAGAAAGAAATGTATACTTTTATTCACTTAGGACGCATTAAATTGATCAAAAGGGACTATAAAGAGATGTAAGATGTTACAAAATATTTCGATTTCAAATAAACGCTGTTCTTTTGCACTTCGTATTCTTTAAAGGGTTAGTTCACCCAAAAATGAAAATTAGTCCATAAATTACTCACCCTCAAGTCATCCTAGGTGTATATGACTTTCTTCTTTCAGACAAATCCAGTCGGAGTTATATTAAAAATAAGGTCGGCGTTGCGCATGCACCGGTGAGTCTCGTAAAAACCAACGTTTGTTAACAGGAGCAAAGGAAGCAAAGTATCCTTACTTTAGCCAAGGAAAACCAGTCTCCTCTTGGCTAATATCGAAATCCTCCAACATTCTTCTTTACAAATCCTCGTTTTGTACTTCTAATAAGTGACCGTTG